AGGAATGCTTGCCCTGGACTGAGACACAGGCAGCTACTGCTCTATCAGCTGCAGAGTCTTGGAAGTGCATCCCGAGATTCCAGCTCTGAGAATTGTACTCAGCCCTTAGAATGGGACAGTAATACTCTTATCTTTCTATGCCCTCACGGATGTTATGCAGAATGCTTGGCTTGCTCATCATCTTACTTTTCTCTGTTCTTCTTTTCAGATGTTGTTTTTCAACCTGCCATTGATGGCCTATCTGTGCTGGTGCCTGCTGCTGCGATGCCAGGGTCACAGCTTCTGTTCTCACATCCGTCAGGTCCGACACGTCATGGCTGTGCTTGTTCACCTGGCAATGACACTCCTCCTGGCCTGGCAGGTCTATTCCTGCTATTTCCTGCAGCGAACCTATGGGACGTTGGCATTCTTCCTCTCCCCGATGAGAACGTGGCTGGTGGTGCTGACCTCAGCTCTGATTTATAAGACTTGGACACTGAAATCATCTGAGCTCAGAACTTATATTGCAGAAATGAAAAACTGTCAGAGCTTATGAAGTACAATATAAGTACTTAAAGTTCTTTGACTTAAGAACTGCCAAGGCACAGCCTATAGTTTTGTGATGCTGGAATTCCATACAGCCCAACCGTTAGGTGCCAAGATGTGAAGCTGCACCTGCACTGCTACAGAGCTGTATGAAATAGCAAATGTATAACAATATGTAATATATACTTTTATTGTATTATACAATATACCGTATAATACATGTTATATAATACAGTTATACACTATACATTAATACAGTATACAGTAAACTGTAGAATAATCTCTTTAATAGGGGTTTTGTGATACAGAAGATAGATATGTCCATATGGGTCACAAATGGAAATTTACTACTGTGAATGGAAAAATATTTTTAAGTCATTAAATTCTCGATTTTTTTATAATGCTGGGGAAGATGAGAACAGATCTTGATTATGAGCCCTAAGGTTTGTGGTTAACTTTGCTTTTTATTTCAGGGTTTACATTTATTTTTACAAGACTAGACCAGATGTCTTTATGAAGTAATAGTTATTGCAGAGGTGCTGTGGTGGCCTTCATAGTAGGAGTCCTTTGCTTACACACTTTGCCAGTTCATAATGCTGCATGTGAGCAGTTTACAGGCTGGTAGGTGTGTGTATGTGTATTTGTGTTTATCTGAGCCATGGCCTATTGCTCTTGTCCTGGAAGGGCTGCTGAATTAACATGCCCCCTCTCTGGGAGGAAGGAGTTATGTCTTCCACTGCTGAAGTTGCCAATTTTCCCACAGTGACCAGTGAAAGGACAGCAAATGATCAGTGTTGCTGGGATTCCCAGCTGCAGTCAGAGTTCAGCTTTAAAGCAAAGAATGGAGACAACGTCCTCATGATGGGAGAGCCTGAAGGAATCAAGCAATCGTGTGGACTGGTGCCAATCATGTCTGTAAGCAAAGTCAGGGCTCTATTTCTGGGTGTCAGTCAAATGCGCCAAAGAGTGACCTGACAAAACCCATTTCTTGGTTTTCATTTTTTCCAAGTCTAAAAATGATGGAACAGTTACATTTATGAAGAATGTGATGATGCAGAGCCAGGAGAGCTGAGGTGCCTTTATCTGTAAAGTCAGGAGGATGCTGGCCTGCTTCACAAAGCTGCTCTAAGTGGGACATTTAAAATACTCTCAGTAACTTTACAGTAACTTATTTATGGTTCCTCAGGAGAAAGGAGGGACAATTTATTTATAGCACCTTAGAAAAAAACAGCTATGACTGCAGAAGAACCTACAGGAAAATAAACTGAATTGGAAGAAAATCTTAACTACAACTAAGACTTTTTCTTGTTTATAAACGGTGACAGCTTTCCTCTTCCTTAATTCCTCAGTGATTGACAATGTAATAGGAAAAAGAGAGCAATGGCTCTCATTTGCATCAGATAAATATGTTAAGAGAATACAGAGTGTCATTTGTTGCTACCTAAGTTTCTTTTGCAAGACTATTAGAACATCAGAGGCAGGGCACAAAATTTACTGGAGAAATCTGCACCGCTGTGAGAAACGCTACTGAAAAAGTAATAATAAACTGACATTTTGTGATTAAATTACTTTTATGTGATCAGGGAGCATAAGTGGCAATAAAATATTTCATTATCTATAACCTGTGACAGGACTGAGACTTCCTTTGTTGTGGTGGTTGCTGTCGATTGCAATGTCATCAAATCTCAATGTAATCAAATGTTTGTGGACTTAAAGATCCTGCAGTCTGTCAGATACTTGCTGTTTGGCTCCATAGGATGTGTTGGGTGGATGGATGGATGGAATTCTGTTAAGAATCTCTCAGCACTATTCTTAGTGTGGTGAGCAAAGATGTTTTATTTGTAGATGTGTTATCTCTGGCTCCAAGGACCCAGATAAGAATCACATGCTCTGAAATGTGGTCGATGTGTGAATTATACATGTATGTGTAATAAATTCAGAGAGAAAGGGAACATCCTACTGCCCTGGTATCACAGAGGAGAACACACCATAGAAACTTAGAACCCTGCCCTGCACAGGAAGCACCTCTTAGCTCAGGCTCTACAGACACAGCTATTGCAGCTTTTTGTTGCCTTACCTTTTCTCATGATAATTGAGTAATTTTCTCCTTAAACAGTTTTCACAGAATCATAGAGTGGTTTGGGTTGGAAGGAACCAAGGATTTTCAGCTGAGAAGACAACACAGTATTGCGCTGGAAAGCCTTGTAGCATTTACATTAGCCAGTATTGGTGTAAGATCTCTTACAGTGTTATTCCATAGTTTATTACATGTTTTTCCAGGTTATGGATGAAAAGGTTTTATTTATTAACTTTTGTACACGAACAGAAGCAACTGGCTTTGGCCTTCATTGCTTCTGGCATGTAGTTCTCTCTTCTAACATGGTACTGCACGGCTGTTTCGGGGCAAGCATGACAATACAGAGCTCTTCTCAAGTGAAGAGTGTCCTTTCCAAGCTGTTCATTAGCAGGACAAATCAGAGCTACATGAAGTGAGCAAAGCAAGTGGCAGATGGTGGAACCAGACTGCTGAAGCACTTCACACACTGCTGGCGGGCATCAGTGGGATCTGTGACAAATCAATCCTTCACAGTATAAATGCTTTGATTACAACACTCTGCAGGGTTTGTTGCTTCGGTTTGTTGGGGTTGTTTTGATCTGCATTGAGGAGTTCCTTTAAAGTACTTAATTCCCATTTTAAACTACTCTAAAAGGACACTTGAAATTATTATTTGGAAAGAGAAAAATCTGAAAATATCTTTCAAATACTTTTTGTCCTTTCTTTTAGAAAAATAGTCTCGTAGAAAAAGCTCTTCATGCTGCTCTTTGCTTATGAAGGAATTCTTGTGTTCATCAGTGAATTACGTCCAAGATACTGTGAAACACACAACAAACTAGGAAAAAGAGAAAAGATTCTTTTATGTGCATATATCCTCAGTGCTGCGAGGGCTGAGCAAAATCTGCAGAGGGAAGTTCCCAAGGGAATGCCATTGGCATGCATAATTTCCTATAACTGTCATCAGGGAAGGCCTGTCCAATCCCTATAAAGAGATCTTGGCATTCAGCATAGTGGAAAATACAAGGATAGCAGAGAGAGGCTTTTTCCATGTGCTTTTCCCACTGTCTCTGTAGCATACTAAAAGAAAAAATAAAAATACTACAAAAGCCCCCAACCCCCTAAAAAAACCTTCCAACCAAACCTAAACCAGTTCCAATAGTTCAAAGAGCATGAACCCCTTTCTGGAACAACAGAGGCTGAGGCTGCTGCCTGCAGGGCACTGAAGGCTCACTCAGGCTGCCTGGTCTGAGGACATGGAACAGGCTGTTCCAGTCTGAAATGCTCACTGCTGCCAAAAGCGAGATGTAGGCGTTACCCTGGGGAGTGGGACACAAAGGCAGCTCCATCCCAGCCTTAAAGCACCAGCAGAAAGCGTCCTGCCCTCCCCAAGTTGCCCCTAGAACCAGGAGGAAGTCCAACTGTGCTGGCTTCTGCCCAACCTGCTCCCATTGGAGCCTGGTCCTTGGCCTTTTACTTTCCCTTCCCACGTTCCCTGCCTGGGAGGCAAAGGAAAGCACAGAGGGGCTGATGGGGAGAGGAAGGCCCCTTCCTGCAGAAGAGCAGAGAGTGAGCAAAGGTCTCAGAGATACAGATAAGCTTGTGCAAGAGGAGGACCCATAAATTCACTGCCTTCTCACCCTTTGCCCTCCAACAGTCTCATCTAAACATAAATTGCACCTCCCTGTTCTTGCATAAACACTGCTTTGCTACTTCATACTACCAGTTTTCTTTCAACACTGTTGACCTGCTTAACCACCCTGTTACCACCCCTCTGCCCAGAGTAGAGTGCTGTGGCAAAATTGATTTTCGCTAAGGCATCTTTCTGGATGCAAAATTCCGTGTTCCTGCGGCTAAAAAGTCAACTAATTTCTGCTTCTTCCTGTGCTTTTCCTAAGGAGTTCCCAGTTGTGTCTCATGAAGTATTTTCTTAGTTAGGAACTTATTCCAGCTGCTGTTACTGTTTCTTATTGCAAGATAATGCCATCTGCGTGGGATCTTCTTTCATCCCCTGGTAGTCTCTTTATGAATGTTCCCTAGTGTGAAGAAAACCTAGTGAAGAGAAAGAAGCAATAGAGGAGAGCAATGTTACAAACAACAGGACCAAGTAATCCTGCATCTGCTTCTTCCTTGATTAGTGCATTAAAATACAGAGATGAAGCTATCGGAAAGGCATCTGCCTTCACTCTCTTCAATTTTGCAACAAGAGCTACGATAAACTACAGGAGATATATTTATGTCTGGGCTGGGAAGCTCTTTTCACGCTACTGCTGACATGTTCCATGAAATCCTGATGCTAAACTACATGGCCTAGCACTAAAACACTAATAGGTGCTCCTGTGGAAAAGAGTATTTCTTCTGATTATCAAGAAGCCAACAAGGAGAACAAGAAGCATGATCTTAAAAAATTGTTAGGAAAAGGGAAGGAAAATGAGGGTAAGAAGGGAAGGGAAGCAGAAAGGAAGAAAATGAAATACAGGATGGTCAACAGCAACTCTTCAAGGTGCAAAGGGAGAAGGATGGAAATGAGTGCACAAAACTTTAGCAAATTCAAACAAGCATGAGGTTGGCTCAAAGGAAAACAAAAAAAGGTGTCTGCCCAATACTGATGAAGTTTTATACCCTTTGCAACAAGAAATGTTTATTTATAAAGATTGTGTAGCTGGACTCTTTGTATCTCCCTGTGTTCACACAACCAGTACTCTGAATTCATGCTTGCCCTTGCTTAAGGTCTTATGAACAATCACTCACCTTACTCTTAAGGTAAAGCTTCACGGGACAACGGCTGGTGCTTCTGCAGCCAGTAACTATCTATCTACTACATCCAAAGCCTCTCAGATTTTTGTTACCAGTTATTTGTCACCCTTTGTTAAATGAGACCTCTCCTATAGTGCAAGGCAGATGATTGCTGAAGAGTCACACTATTGCAGTAATGAAGACAAGGTAAAAAAAAAAAAACCCTGATTTATTAATATTTTTAGAACTATGGTACTTGGTTTAAAGCATTTTCTCCCTTTGATTTTTATTTATTCTTGGGAGGCAATACGAGCCAGGATTCATAAGTAAAGAAATGCTTCTGTGAGAACCCTAAACATTGGGGTGCCAAGAGGAGCCTTACTCTGATTGTCCCCATCTTTGTTTTCTTTTTTCCCCTCAAGCCATTTAACCAATGCTGTTAGAGCCTCTATTGCCCTCCCCAGCTCACCTGACTACAGGAATGCTGCTGCAATCAGGCTGCCTTTACAACAGTAAAGAATCAGTATCTCAGGATGATCTCACTCTGGATGACCCCTCATATCATCAGCTCTTCATAGGCTTACAACTTGTGTGGCTTACTAAGCAATTACTGTAAAAATAATAGTGCTGGGGATTTTGTAATTGTATCATAGTCTGTTTTGGTTGTGAAGAATCACCTCCCCAAGGACTGTCATTCCTGGAAGGTGGTCACCTCACAGTGCAGAGACAAGCTCACCCTGGAGCAGCTCTTCAGCAAATACTGTTTGAAAGTCCAAAACCTGTACTTTGGACAAACAAACGCAACTCTGGGAACGTATCAGACTGAGGCCCTCACACACTAGATATGAAAGGAAAACAACATTTTAACACCTTTCTAGGATGGTTATTGTGGTGATTGCTTTCTTGCATTCATACAACACAAACTCACCACGGTTCACAGCTGAAGTCTCTTTTGAAATACACAGATACTTAATTAGCTTGCAGTGGATACTACCCTATGATATCCTTCCTTCCAAGCAGGCTGGAATAAAACAGAACAGTCCTCAGTTTTTTGAAGGCATTTTCCTCAAAACAGGCTGTTGAAACTGAGATAAAATTGATAGATCGAAGGAGGCTGAATATGGGGAAATGCATCTTACAAGACATTGAAGTTTGGGTGTGGGAAGAGGTTAGCCTTCGAGGCTGGAAGAAAATACAAAAACACTCTGGTGACACCATGCCCCGCGAAGCACCGGATGTATTTACGTACAATTCGACAAACACACACAAAAACAAATTCAGCAGAGGATTTTCTGTTTCTAATTAAAACTGGTACTATTTCAACTCAGCAGCAACACTAATAATAATCTCATTTGCTAAAATACTCTTGTATGGGTAATAATTTCCAGGAGCAGTAGCAGCAGAGCATCAGGTTAAGACCAGGTTTACTATGGGGGTGTAAAGTGCTAATGGTTGGTCAGGTACCTGGCGTGGGCTGTTTTCCTTTGTGCTTAAGTATTTGCTTTAGGAATGAACTGTAAGGATGAGGATGTTTGTTCAGGAAGGTTAAGTGTCTTGAAGTGGGTTAAGGCTCTTCGGCTGCCTGGCAGAAGTTGAATGCAGAATACAGGGGGCACAGGGGTGCACAGGTGATGCTGTTTCAATCTGAATATTCCTATCAGGCATGTGGGAGGGAAGAAGGAAAAGGGACGAAGGACATGCCAGCACAGCCAGCACACTCCTTAGTTGTATTCCCATCAGTTCCCTCCCCATTAACTCCAGCTAACATGACAGGAATACAAGTTTGGAGACAATGTCCTCTTGCCTCCTATTTTAATATACATCTGAATTCTCAAGCCTTACAAGCCCACTTAACTTTCACAACAGAATTACCATCTATAAACAGTCACTATGCAGGAACTCATACAATTTCACTCACCCATTGCTTTCTGTCTTCATTTGCCAACTATGATCATACTGATTTCACTGCACAAAATTTTGTCTTCTAATCCCAGTGTGAGACTTATTAATGCTGCTGGAGTTAGATGCTGGATTCACAATCTAGCTGAAAGTGAACCACTCACTAGTTTTGCAGTTGAAAAAAGCATACTGGAAGATTTATATCATCTAATTCTATACTACAAGTGTCTTTCTCTTCCTCAAAGTTTATGGCATCCATCACTGCATGCTTCCTTCTTACAGAACAGCTTCAGCACTAGGAAATGAATGGACTGGTTTTCATACTGCTTACAACCATATTAAGCAATTCTGATACTTGTCTCACTTTCCAGAGCACACAAAATGATTTATAATGCCCAATTTTTTGCATAGTGTTTCTTTCCTAGTCCTTGAATTCCATTTAGTTTGTTCTAGGTAATGACTCCAGCAGATCTAGATAATCCATTCTCTGGACAGTAGGGCTGACCCTCCTGTTAGGCAGCACTTCCCTTAAAGGCAAACAAATTAAAACCAAAACCAATTGCCTGTAAATCAGAATGTGTCATGAACAATCCTATTCTCTAAATAAATGTGTTAATATCTCTGAATGTACATAGTAGTGGAATTCTCATATCTTTAAGATAATTATCTGTTCCCTTTGCTGTCCCTTGCCTTTGAAGATACAATCTCATCAGTTCCATTTGCTAGTCAAACTTGGGAATAGTGACTCATTTTTTCCACAGTTTCTCCATTGAGATGGTAAAAGAACATTGTTAGACCAAAAATTCAGAGCCAAGATACTGAGAGAACAGAAAATTGTCTGCAAAGTTTCCTTCCCTCATCAGGCAGCATGTTTTGAGATTCTCTTTCTGTCACCCTGGAGAGGTGTAAAACCCACAAAACCCACAGCAATTGAGGAGATTACCATAAAAACAAGATACAGTAGATTTTAGAAAAAGAATTCTAAAAACAAAACTTCACTTTAAGTCTGGAATGCAAAGATTGAGAAGAGTTAAATAAGGCTCATGCTGCACCTGAACCTCTCTCTGATGGAAGTCAGCATGCTGATGGAATTGTAAATGAATTAGGTTTCAAGTGCTCTGAAAATTAGGGGTATAATGATACAATACAGATAAATAGACAAGACACATCAGTGGAAATATGTTCCAGTTGGCAAAATGGAAATACCTTTGTCATTAGAGACCTTGAATTCCAGAAATGGAATTTTTCATTGCAATTATCTGTAAAAATGGGAACAGTTTAAATTCTAAAATGATTACCCAGACTGATTGGACTGTCAGGGCCAATTTACACTAGTGCATTAAAACTTCTAGAGAAGTTCTAGGGCCCTGAGACAAACTGCACAGGAATGGTGCTCATCTCTGCTGGTAAATTCTTCTAACACCTAAAATTAGGTAGCTGCATAGAAGCTGCTTATTGGAAATGGTTCCTGGTGTGTTCCAACTTTCAAACCATACCCATAAAATATATGCAAGTGTGCTAGCTGGCAGCTATCAGAATGTCAAAGACTGTATTAGTTGTTTCCAATATAAATGATTGCATTCCTGTTTCCAGCTCTATTTAGTTTATTAGCATCCCAGAATCTCTGCTTTCAGTACATACACAACAACTTAATGGCTTATTTAAGAAAACAGTATAAGTAAAAATTTGCTCACTGTTAGAGATAGAATCCAATGATTTTTCCCAAAGGAATGACTTTTACTTAGAAACTGAGACGATCTGTTTTCCAATATTGCCTCCACTCATCATGGACTGGAAAGCAGCTTCAAGAGAAATAATGAAATAGTTAGTGCCAAGCAAAATGTGCCAAGTGACTTTTAAGAAAGATTTTTTCTTAAAAAAAGGTAGAAGCTAATGTATGAAACAGCTGCTCAGAAAGGAGACATCACATTTTGGACCCAAACATATTTATCCCTAATGGCATTCTAAAGTAAGAAGAAAAAAAAGCTAATTTTTAATAAACTGCTAAGGGCAGTAAACAAGATATGAAATATGACTGCTGTATTTGATGAAATTCCATCAAAATACACACGTATACAAGTAAGTAGCAATGACTAGAATAAATTTACATCTATAAGGTTTGGCTGTTGCTTAATTCTACTGGCTTCCAATCTTGTGGGCCTAAAGAATTAATTAAATCATACTCTCCCCTGCTACTTGCAAGGGAAGGATTCTTACAGTACATCTGGAATCAACTGGCTCTCTCGCTGTCTCACTGCAGTCACAAGACCCTCTTCATTTTTGCATTTTCTTTGTTACACATTTTTGGAACAGGCTACAGGCCATTTTGTCCCTTTAAACCAAATTATTTTTTACTTTGTTTAACAATCTGTCATATGTTTTCCCCTTTCTTGTGTGTACTTCTTGTTAGCAAATACATTAACAAGCACTCTTAGATATTGGGTTTTTTAGACATGTGAGTTCAAAGTTTCCAAAATACCATTTTCTTAGTCCTAAGAAATGGGCAGCACTTTAAATCTGTAAGATCAGTTTGACTATCATCAGCTGCTAAGATACCAGTTTAAGAGTTAATTCCTCCCTCATTGTAAAACAAACAAACAAATCTCAAAATTTATATTCAATTTCTTTTTAACATAAACCTCTCACAGAACATATTTATACCTTGTGAAAAAATATGTATTTTATTATAACATTAAAATCATGGTGTAGATAAAATACAAAAACCTGAATTGGCAAATGAAGCAAAGGAGGTAATTAACCTCTACTGTCATTGTATTTAATCAGATTATTACTCTGAGAAAATGGTGTAAAAGTCTTACCACCAATGTTTGCTAAGCCTTCTACCACGGTCTCTCTGACCTGTCAATGCAAACAAGTCCTTTTAGCTTTCTTCAAACAAGATCAACATTTCTTAGAAACAAGCCATGAAACTGCCACAGAAGCTACCAAAACCTGAAGGATTCTCTTGCTACAATGGGCAGTGCTCTGTTTGGGTCAGGTTCTTTCATCAAGAGAGGAGTGAACACTTTCTGATTTAATTCTTCAATCAGATTATCCCTGACCCTGCAAAAACGTAATGTCTCAGGATTTCCCCAGGAGAACTTACAATTTACTGATTACTGAAGAATGCAATTTACTCATTTACCTATTACTGAAAAATCAAAACCTAGTTCAGACAGACTTCATAGGAAAGGGATGGATAAAGCATCTACCCATCACAAAATAATAAATGGTGATTATAAAGCATGAAACAAAATTTCAGAGAAGATCCTCAAAAGTATTCAGAACATTATCTAATCTGGTATTTGAAAGTACGTATTTTTGAAGGTCTCATTCTTTACATAAAAAAGCACTTGCACCCGATGCTGAAAGGAAGAATACAGACATCTGGAGCATGTAATTAGGAAAGTGTGTCATATGACAGTCACACTGTCTCAGCAGGTAGCTACTAAACCAGTACTACCAAATAAGCTTTCAATTATACTTACACATTCTTCAGAAAATCTGTTCAATTCTGAGGCATGGTAAGAGAGCCAGGGACAAAGAAATTGGACTTCTTGTAGTCAGGCCATGATCTGAGGAGATCGTATCAAAGGCCGGGGACTAAAAGTTCTTACCTTCAGTTTACCCTCTTGGATCCACTGACAGAGCTGTAATACGCAAGCTTCTTGTTTGTCCATATAGTTCAACACTAAGAATCTTTCCCTGTGAAAGAAAAGAATGAGCCTTGATTTAAGCAATGCTGGTAAGCATGTTTTGAAATCTTTGCAAATCTTTTCAGGAAACAGCATTGTTGAAACTGAAGGGTTATGAGTACTAATTACAATGAGACATAGCTCAAAGCTTTGCTGGCTTGTTGAGACAGCTCCCTGCAGTGGGAGCTTCACAGTAACATTGGTCTTAGACAAGTAATTCTGCCCCCAAGTCTCAGACAGAAGAGTCCTGCAACTAGATGGTGAATGCAAACTCACCTTCAGACTCCCTAAAATTCTGCATAATTTGCTGTTACATCTGCCTGTAGTGATCAAGAGAAACCGAAATGATCATCAAAAATGGTAATTTCTTGCAGCAACCTATGGACTAAATTCTCCACTGCCTTCTACCATGACGTATTTTAGTATTTTTATCCATTTTTTAGAAGTGCAAACAAAAATAACAGGGACAAGAAAAGAATTTTTATTAGAAGAGGTCAATTTGTTTGCATAGAGATGAAGCATCTCCCTAATTTCCTGCAATGCAATGAATGAAGTCTCCTAAGACTTCACTCCTAATCTCTACCTTAGTCCCACCCGAATCCTGACAGGAGATTCCAAAATTCCCAGAGTCATAACAAAACCCAATGTTTTACCTATATATATCTGCCACACCTACAGTTCCATTATCTAATAAAACCCCAAATACTAAAAATATGATTTCAATACAATCACTGCATCAGTTGCATCTTTAAGAATACTTCCTATTCCCTCTGCCTGAACTACTGCACTTGGAGAGAAGGCAGCCTGCAAAACATCTGAGACCAGAACCATGGCAACACCTTCCCTCGCACTGAAGAATCTGTCAGACTTCAGGACTAAATCAAGCAACCACAAAGCATAACAGCAGACAAATATGTTAACATACAACAACATCCTTTCCCACTTTTTGTGCCGATACAGACAAAGGTAAGAGAAAGGATTTACTGACAATGTGATTATAGTTCCCTTGTTTAGTATGGCAACATTCTGTTCCAATTACATGTGCCTAGTGTGTATCTACAGGCTCCCGAGCATCAGAGTCACACCACCATGTGCACAATCTACCTGGAACTTGGTCACAGGTTCTGGAAGAGAAACGTACCTTGTGATATTCCTTTCTTTCTGTATTTTTTCTATGTCAGGAGACAGTGGAGGAGGATAAGGCACATCTTTGTTATACTGAGAAATCTGTCCACACAGGATGATATGGCTGTTCTGATTCATCTGTTTGGGACAGCACAAAGTGAGAAGAATTACATTCCTTCATCTCAGAAACTAAATTTTCCAGAGATGAAACAGATTATATTATAAAATGTTCACATGGGTATCCTTAGTTAGAGCCACATTTCCTAAAGAAGACTGGGAGAATTGCAGGCAGCCCCATTCAATCTATGACAACATTCGAATAGATAAATGCAGGGCAAGAATGGAAAAATAAAAGCTATACAGCCCATATGTAATTTAAAGAGGCATTAAATACAAGGAATTCAAGAAATTGTTATCTTACTTTCTGTCCTTTATGTAAAGAGGAGAGGGGTAATAGGACAAAGAAGTTGGATACAGCTGTGATTTAGAGCTCCCAAAGGTGGCAGTGCTACCAGAGCCTCCCTGCCATGAGACAGTGTAGTTGCATGTCAACAATGAAGAGGGCTGGTCAAGAGTTTTTATGGAGGCCCAGCAGAGCAGGTTTTCTGTGCAGCCAGAAAACCACAGCTGATAAAACACAAAATTACTACACTAACAGACCAGGTTTTTAGAATATTACCAAGTCTCCTGGCCAAAGAAATGAGAGATGACAAGCAGAAACTGTGTTTCTGTTACCCAGATGACAGACACTGATTTCAAGTATCTGATTTCTCAAGACCAGAATCAACACCTGGATTAGACCAATGAAGTGGAAAACCTGCTCTGCTGTATTGCAGGCTGGTCTCCAACATGAATTAATTCCAAGCTGGGCATGCAGACACTGGAGAGCGACTAGAATAAACCTGACAGCTGGTATAATCACCTGACTTATAACTGTATCGCTGATGTCTCCACCAACGTTGTCAAAGTAAACATCCACACCGCCTGGGCAGAATTCACGTAGCTGCTCTGCCACATTCCCCTTCTTGTAATTGATAGCAGCGTCAAATCCCATTTCTTGGACCAAAATGGAGCACTTTTCATCTGTGCCAGCGATCCCCACCACTCTGGAGCAGCCCTCCAAACGGCCAATCTGCAGGTACACAGTACAAACAAAAAACACAAACAAGGAAGAGCAGTGAGATCATTCAACTGCATATAAGTACCAGGGGGTGTTGCATCCCACTAAACCCCAGCTTCCATCTCATGTGACACAACTGCCTCTTGTCACTCCCTCCTCACACCTAGAGAAGCAGCAGGTACAACTGAAATCTGCCATCTTTCCAAACTCAGTGACTGCAGGAGGCTTAGTCTGTGGAGTCACCAGTGACTGGCAGCACTGGAAAGCCAAATATAGTAAAAACTTACCATCTGCCAAGTACTGTTACATAGCTAATAAAAGGCCAAAAAGATTGGACAATAAATGATTTCAATATGTTCTGTGGATATTTGTAGATATGCACAGACACACACATAGACACATTGCAACAGGTTCTGCAAAGCTGAAGAGGATAAAAGGACTGTGAACCTCGGAACACAAAGGATGTCACAGAACACAACACGAAGAGGGTTTACAACATTGTTTTACTTACGTAGAAAAACCTTAAAGTTGCCAGTCAACTCAAAGACTGTGTTCAAACAGCAGAATAATAAAATAATTATTAATAATAAAATAATATAAATACACATATGTAAT